TCTGGAATGTTATGTAGCACGATGTCTCCTTCCAACACAACTGCATGTTCTCGCACAGACGTATTGGCATTGTCATCTTATAGGATGGTGAGGATGGCAACTGATGCACCGTTCAACACTGGTTCCAAAATGTCAGTGTCCTGAAGAAAAGTAAAATATGAATTATTGAAAGCTAAGAAAAACTAAAGACAAAACAAATATCTAAAGATTTAACTTTAACCTCTATACCATGCTGGTCGTTTGGCTCAGAGGTTTTAAGAAGAAAAAGCTTATTTTCCTTTAATTAATGTCACCTTGTGAGTTTTGTACAAAAATATTTTCTTCTGGAACACCCACTAACAATGCCCAGCTGCTGCCCAGCAGAAAAAAAAGGAGTGAGAGTTATGATAACTGCAATCCCCACTATAAAATTATCTGGACTGCACTGAGGAAGTGTACATTTCCATTTTGAATTAACTCATCCTTTAAAAACATCTCATAGCAATTAGTTTTACTTGCATTACTTTTTTGTACTTACTAAGCACTTCAGGAAAACCTCTGTTGCATCCTCTCTGAGGAAAATGGGCAGGCCTCTCAGTGCCGGTGGGACACAATGTCAGATGCCTAAAGAGTATTCAGTGGAAAACAATTAAGACTGGCCTGGATAAAAATCTAATTATTTTTCCCCCTTTTCTTTCCTTTCCCCTTTCCTTAAACATAAAAAGACTTCTATAACATTTGTTATACATTGTTTACAATTTGCCTGACTGCTCGGATCAGCTAAGGAGTGTACTATGAAGTGAGATTAATGGGTAGGCGAGCTCTGCTGACCTTAAAAATCAGAGTTTTATGTGACACTAAAGTAGTTTTTGGGTTTTTTTACCTTTGTTTTAAGGATATTTAGTGCCATTAAGGTTAAGTTTTTCCTGAACACATAATTTATCCTGAACACATAGCCAGCTTAGGAGCAGGTTAAGTTCAGAATTGTGGTGTAAAATCACCTGGAAAGAGCACGATTTGACTGATTCTTTCAATTAGAACACATTTTAAGTGCAAAACAGACTCTCTGCTGGTGAAATATGCTTCATATGTGCAAGTTGTTAAACTGTACCTTCCTGGGTTTTTTTTTCAAATTGTGAACTGCATTGTCACCAGAATATGCATATTAATCTGGTGATGCAGAAACTATATAAATGCTGTTTTACTAGATTCTAATCTGATGTTGAGTCTCTTTTATATTGCTGGAATTGCAGCTACTAGAACACAGAACAAACACCAGGAATACCTGCTCAGTCAATAAAATTTATCTCACTTTGATCTGCTGACAAACTAAAGTGATTTCCATATCTCTTTTATTATGCTGTGGAACAGTAACCCTCTACTGTTTAAATGTATCAGGTTCAAAGTTTTAGAACACCATGAACACCAACTGTGTGAATAAACAGCAGCACTAAATACTGAAATAATTAAATTGAACTTGAATCCCCAGATGGATATTCTGCAGCATTATTCTCATCTTATTTGCGATAGTGTTGGAACTTACTGTTGTATTGTTCGTGTTCTTTATAGATTTTTATGACCATATTATCAATATCATCTGATAACATTTCCATTTGGAGTAGGTGGCACTGACAGGGATCATTTGGTGGGGAAAACAAGGCATAAGACATTCAGACAATGTGAAACATCCTGGTTTTTTGCGTGAGCGTGCTCAGAACCTGGAGCAGAAAGCCCTGCTTAACAGAAAATAATTTTAACCACCATTGTGAAGCTTGTTATGTTTTGTCGAGCCCGCTAAGGCAAAGAGGAAGAAAAAAATCCTGACTCTGTTTAACTTTATTCATAGTATGCACCGGTTTGTTGTGTTTCTGGTATTCTAAACAAGTACATTAGAGCAAGGCTGCAGAGTGCCCTCTGGTGAACAAACTGTGCAACATCGACATTCAAACCAATATATCAGCAAATTACGAATATTGACCAAATATTGGTGCTTCAATTTAGAAGTTGGTTGGGTTCTACACCAAAGCATGCAAACCTACAGAAAAAAAAATGGAACAGTGTTGCAACTTTCTGTTAACTGTACTCACTGTAATACTCAGGAAGTCTGAGAAGTCTGTGGTGCGCCTCTTGCAGCAGGACCAACCCTGTAACAGAAACAAAGATATTAAAACACAACAGCAAACCCTTTCTCTCTGTGTTTGTGTCATGCATGAAAACCATCCTTATTAAAAAATAACTGTTGCTAAAGTTGCCCTCTTATAACAGTTGCAAGTAAAAAATGACCAGGAATACAGTGAAGCAGGCTAATGGAGAATCGACGCTCCATGTATGCATTTAGCATACAGTATCATAGAGGCTGACCCCAGCTTACCTTGAGAGCATCATGAAACACGGGTACCCCGGATGGAAGAGGCAAGCATATGCGTGTGCAGAAACAGATATGAGAACACTCCACGGCGCGACTTATTCATTTTATAACAAAGTCACCAATGTCATAATGAAAGCAAAGCACCAAGCACTGATATATCTAAACGGCCTTTAGTTATTATGTTTATTGATCAAATCACGAATAATTTCCATTAATAAAATTGCACTACTGTTTTGTTAGAGCTCAATATTTAACAGGTGTATTACCTGATAGCTAAAATGAAAAGTAACAGCAAACCAATTTTTTACTGTCACAGATGACAGAACCGAAGCAGGGTTTAGGAGTCTTTTAACTGAGCCTTTAATAAGACCAACAAATGAATAGAAACTGCTTTAATCGCAGATACCTAAAGATTCAAAACTTTAACTAACGAGCCTTATACCTAGAAATCACCATGTAAACGCCTCGAATATAAGTCTTTAATGACCACTTAACCAGCAATGAGTAAAGTTACTTTCAATTTTGATATAACTAATTATATAATCTTATAACATAAAAAATGGCCCGCTGTCAGTTACTACCATGCAATTTAAAATAAAGGTAAACTAGCCATGTAAAAGAAAAACACAAAATCCTCAGGTATAATTTAGTTGGTTGTTTAACGTTTTTACCGTCGGGGTTGTTGTCCGGGTCAAATCGCTTTCCGCAGCTCCTGTTGTAGCACAGCACAGACATGTTCCCGTTCACAAGCTAAACCACAGGCTCGTAACACACAGCTCTGCTTTCTAAATAATTTGTTTTCCTGAGACAAACTGTGTATAAAGTGAGTGTAGACGGGTCACAGCTGCTGCCATGTGTCGCCCACTGCTGCGGTTCCAACTTCGACAAGCTCCGTCAGCAGCCGGAAATCTCCGAAGGTGCTTTCGAGAAGTTTCGCGCACTGTCGAGCCACACAGCTGTGTGCACGTCTGTGACGGGGGGCGGGGACTACTACACGTGTTAATTCGAACGTCCCTTTTATTATTTATTTAATCTTATCGAAAGATAATATTAATATTTCGAAAATTGAAAGTGTCTTTTATCCACGGAGTTCAGCTGTACAGCTGAGTCTTGTTCTGTTTGATGTGGTTCTTGTATGCTGTGCCATGCATTTATGGAGTGGCTGTTTGAGGTCACAGCAATCCTCACCGAACTGCTTTATGTTTTTGTATTATCCTTCCTTGTGAACTTTATGTTTCTACCAGTTAGCGGCTATCTTTTCAAAGGAGCCAAGATCTTTACTTTCCACTCTCTCCATGTAAAGACTATTTTCTGTCTCAACTGTCTCAGTTGTAGATGCAATAGTGAAAAGTGAGACCACGTCAACGGACACTTTAATTTCATCTGGATTAAGCATCTTTGTGGGCCTTGTTGGTGAAGTAAGTGGAGCTTTCCATGTGATGTGGTATGTTTTCCATGAGAGGAGCTAAGATGGTGGCAAGGTGTTTAGCAATGTTGTAGTTGTAGTAGGTTTATACTGCTAACAATAGGTCTGAGTGGGACTCCTCTGGATTTTTGGAAGTCGGTATATACAAAGTATGGTCTTACTGAGGTAAAGGTGGTAGTATGGGTGGTCATTGCTTGTTGTAGGCAACTGATGACTTTCTTCTGGTAGTTGCTTGTAAGGTCTCATTTTAAGACCTCATTAGTGTTGCTGTCACTGAGGAGTGTACTCATTTTGTGTCATAACCAGATGAGTTTAGAACAACTGACACTAACAGCTGACAAGAGGAGTGTCAGATAGAAGTAGTTTCACTAAACAAAGTCTTTTACAGTCAGGTCTCTGTATTTATATTTGAATGAGCCATGTAGACTGACTTGTGAATTTAACTAGGAAAAACATGGAAAGCTATGTCCTTGAATATCAATACAAATCTTGCTTTTACCACCATGAAAATAAAGATGACTAAACATAAGTTTTAATACAAATGCATACTGAAAAATAAAGAAATGCAAGTAGCAAAAAGAAAAACCATTTTTATTATTTTTTGTTGTATAACATAATATTAAGCTTTAGTTAAAAATAGGTAAAGGAATACATATTTGATTATTTACAAATTATTTTTGGTAAAATCGCACATTTGTTTTTCTGTCAAACTGAAAAAAACTTAAATCTTTGCAGCACGTTGCGTGTATTCAACTGAAAATTTCTGCAGGAAAACATTAAAAGAAATTCCACAATAATGGAAAGAAATAGTGATTGTGTGCTCTGTGGATGAGATGCAGTCAGGTTCAGAGGTCACAGCACTCCGATTCCCGGCATCCAAAACTAGCTTGTGATATAGAATGTCACCTTGCTATTGGGGAAAGAGCCTGAACTGGTGTGTGACTGTTAAAGAAAGGCAAGAAGAGATCAGATTAAAACATACAGTTTGTGCTATCTGTATTTACACTACATGAATATCTTTCTGCAATCCTTCCTGATTGATGAACTGTAAAATATTATTCTTTAATCGAATAAACATGTGGCCTTAACAAAAGTCAGTATCAACTGTGGTGATTAAAACCTGGTTAAACATATTACATTCAGAGATTCTCATAGATGCTAATCTGAAAGTACTTCTGATCATGAACCTGCTCAACTTGCCTGATTTACTTGACCAGGTGTGGTCAGTGCTGTTGTGCCCTCTCCATCATGGTTACAGCTTTCCTTGCTAACGTAATAAAGGAGTTATTAAGAGCATTTTCAAACTACATCACATACTTTTCTTCTTCTAAACTACCTTTGCCAGCCTATCAGCTACAATACTAAATTACTAAAGCTAGGTTTATTTTCTAATGCCAGCTGTGTCTCCATACGAATCATAGAGCAGTAAAAGCAGACCAACGCCAGCTTGCCTCGCACACTGCATTCATCCAAAATGCACATGTGCAAATCACCAAAAAGAAGTTGCTGGATTCTTGACCAACAGTAGTAAGTGTTAAAAAAAGACACACCCTGAGAGACAGAAAAAACGTTCTGCAAGATTGAAATGACAGCTTTCAGTGGCTATAGCTGACTGCGGCCATAAGATGGTAGTAAAGTAAAGGCTGGGTGCATATATTGATAGATAGGTAAGAAGCCTATGACAGCGCTTCTGAGATTAAAGGAGAGAGATTGCTTTACTTTAGTACATTTTAATGTGCGTCTATTTGAAGATTTGACAAGGCAGTCACTGCTTGCCTTGCTTTTCCTGACAGAAAGCCACCAACTGGGCTCACCTCAAAGCATAACTCAAGCTCTGGAAGCAGTTTCCTGCAGAACAGAGTCTAACTCCTTTCCAGGGGTTAGACTCTGTTCCACTCTTGAGTTGGCCTTGGTGAGAGGTGCTAGGCAGGGGTGGTGTCTTTTTCTCCCTTTGTCTCTGTGTTGATTGTTGTTCAGGGCACCTCAAATATGTTGCTTTTTGAGATAACTCTACATTGTTTACTGGCTTATGAGAGCTTATTAGGGGTGGTGAAGGAAAGGAAAAAGTCAGGCACTGGGCATGGGGTGTGTCTGAAGATCTGAGAAAGAACTCATAACTTTTAGGTTAAAGGGGAAAATCTTTGAGAAAAGGGTGAATATATGAGCAAAAGCGTCTGCCAGGAAAATTTGTGATTGGATGACCTACAGTTAGGTCCATAAATATTTGGACAGAGACAACTTTGTTTCTCATTTTCATTCTGTACATTACCACAATGAATTTTAAATGAAACAACTCAGATGCAGTTGAATGGGAAAAGACTTTCACCTTTTATTCAGTTGTTTGAACAGATAGATACACCCCCAGGCAGACCATTTTTAAATTATTTGGGAGGAATTTGAGTTTTTTCTGTGTTCTCTCTTCACTGGCAGATGATGTCTGATTGGAGTGGAATGTAAGATTAGCCAGGAGCCAGATTAGGGAGAGCCAAGCCTAAAACACAGCTTCTCCCCAACTTTTTAACCAATCACATTAATGACCTGCTTGTACCATAATATAAAAACTTTTTTCACTAGGAAGTAGTCCTGTCACCGTCTGTAAAACCTTCAGACGTTTAATATCCAAATTATTGTCTATTTGTTTTAGACATTACAGAAGATGTATAGGAAGGGATGTGTATGACCTGAATATGTTATAATCCTTTGTAGGTTTTTTCACGTTACAGCTATTTAGTTTATTATTGTGATTAATTGCAGTTCTATTATGATTATCACTTGATTCCAGTCATGTAAAACTGACATTATGTCAAAATGGCATTTTTCACCCTCTGTACAACACAGTGCAAACAATAACAATAACTATTTTTTAATTGATTTCACCTAATAAATTTAAGTGAAAAACGAGATATACTCTTTTTCTTCTGTGTCTCAAAGCTACTTTTAGTTACTTTGTTGTAACTGAAAGTAACATGTGTAAAATGTTGATTGTTAGGCCCAAAAACTCATATACAGGAAAATTATTTTCAACTCTCTCATAAAAAGAGGGTCCTAATCCCTGATCTTATGAGTTTTACAGATTAGATAATGCAGGGTTCTGGAGCCAATGTGGGTGCCCAGTACTAACTACCTTGAAATTGTCCTGATAGGTTTGTAGCTTAAACCTATTCGCTGGAATGTTGAAGACAATATAATTACACA